CTTCAAAATATCTTCTTTTGTGTTCAACAGAACAAAGAAACTCATACAGATTTGGAACAACTTGAGGGTGAGTAAATGCTAGCCGCGGAGCTAAAGCTAGTGAGCTTTTGATTTGATATAATTCACAATTCTGTCAGGTTTCAACACTGTACCTGGGTAGTTTTGAGGAAGGGAAGATGAGCTGCAGTTTACTGTGAAGTTCATGGAATTCCTCAAAGGTCCTTTGGACTAAAGTTGACCCCTGTTCCCGCTCCACTTTCACAACATAAGACTGCATGAAGGGAAAAAATACATCAACACTGAGATGCATATAAATGGATTTGGGCTAAAATGCAGCAGACTTACATAGCCTTTGCTTGGAGTATAGGTTTTGATGTGTCTGCAAACAAACAGGCTGCGAATAACTCCATCACTCTTTAGAGTGTAGATGCGTGGAGCAAATGACAGAACGGGACGCTCCTCAGAGGATGCAAACTTCATTTGGGCCAGGTTATGGATGAAGAAGTTGAGCTTAGTAGCCACACTGCCAAGACTGGACTCGATGAGCCTAGAACAGGGGATCAGATTAAGATGACGGCCAAAAGACAGATGGATTTGAAGGACAATAATAACTGTTGACAGCTATAATTGCTAGGATGTTTTGATTGGTTGCAAAGGTGTTCCTGCTGGTTGTTAGGTGCTTGCTTACTGGCACCAAAGGCAACACTCTACGGTTTCTTTAAAATGACAGACATCAAGAGCAAATGGGACAAAGTCTCCAAGTTCTCACCTGGTGAAGTGCATGGTAGCATCTGCTTCTGATTCATGTGGTCTCAGAGCATCATAAACATATTTCAGATCATCCACATCAGACAACTCTGGTATCCCACTGGAGAGCATCTGCACACAAACACACAAGGTTACAATGTCAGAGCAGAGGGACACAATGCAATTCAAATAAGCATTCAAATAACAGGCAAACAATAAAGCAAGCCAGAGAACCTTACTTAAAGTTCTTACTTCAAGTTTTCCTTTCTCTTTGGAGTGTTACAAGCTGTTCGTG